AGCAGCAGGTGTTTCTAATCAGGATTGCCACTCATCTGCCAAACAGGGACGTCACAAATGAGTCACAAAGACATACAGATTTATAGGGTATGGGAGCGGGCATGAAGGGCAACACATTTCTGATCTCTGTAAGTTTTCACGAGGGTCACCTCCACCTGATCTGAGACATTAGAGTAACATCCAGGGGACCCCCATAGCTGATACAGAGCCAGTATCAAGTACATTTGCATATAAATACATTGGAAATATTATAGCCTGTGTACCAGTCAGTTTGTGCCATCGTGGCACCTGGAGTGGAATGATAGCATAAACAGATCTGAGACCAGGCTAGAAAATATTATTCAGTATGGTGACGGGAACATGTGAGACTGAACAACATGCTACTGACTGACGCCCATGTCACTTCCTCATTGATCATGCATTATGAACTGTCTTTACGATGTCTGAAAGCATGCACAGTAAATGGAGAGATTCTATCTGGGAATATGAAACGAATGGGAAAATATGTTTGTATGAAATATGTTACATGTTACTAACATGGGAATTCAGTAAATAATTGACCAAGTGTGGTGGCACATAGAGCGTTGGGCCCAGAAACCGAAAGGTCGCTGGTACGAAATACCTGAGCTGACAGGAACTTAACCCTAATGTGCTCCAGGGGCACTGTACTACTATAGTTGACCCTGTAAAACAACACATTTCACTGCACCTATCTGGTGTATATGACAATAAAACACACCTACTCATTCAAGGGTTTTTCTTTATTTTTTAAAACTATTTTCTACATTGTAGAATAATAGTGAAGACATCAAAACAATGAAATAATACATGGAATCATTTAGCAACCAAAAAAGTGTTAAACAAATCAAAATATATTTTATATTTTAGATTCTTCAAAGTAGCCACCCTTTGCCTTGATGACAGCTTTGCACACTCTTGGCATTCTCTCAATCAGCTTCACCTGGAATGCTTTCCCAACAGTCTTGAAGGAGTTCCCACATACAGTGGGGAAAAAAGTATTTGATCCCCTGCTGATTTTGTATGTTTCCCACTGACAAAGACATGATCAGTATATAATTTTAATGGTAGGTTTATTTGAACAGTGAGAGACAGAATAACAACAAAAAAATCCAGAAAAACGCATGTCAAAAATGTTATAAATTGATTTGCATTTTAATGAGGCAAATAAGTATTTGACCCCTCTGCAAAACATGACTTAATACTTGGTGGCAAAACCTTTGTTGGCAATAACAGAGGTCAGACGTTTCTTGTAGTTGGCCACCAGGTTTGCACACATCTCAGGAGGGATTTTGTTCCACTCCTCTTTGCAGATCTTCTCTAAGTCATTAAGGTTTCAAGGCTGACGTTTGGCAACTCGAACCTTCAGCTCCCTCCACATATTTTCTATGGGATTAAGTTCTGGAGACTGGCTAGGCCACTCCAGGACCTTAATGTGCTTCTTCTTGAGCCACTCCTTTGTTGCCTTGGCCGTGTGTTTTGGGTCATTGTCATGCTGGAATACCCATCCACGACCCATTTTCAATGCCCTGGCTGAGGGAAGGAGGTTCTCACCCAAGATTTGACAGTACATGGCCCCGTCCATCGTCCCTTTGATGCGGTGAAGTTGTCCTGTCCCCTTAGCAGAAAAACACCCCCAAAGCATAATGTTTCCACCTCCATGTTTGACGGTGGGGATGGTGTTCTTGGGGTCATAGGCAGCATTCGTCCTCCTCCAAACACGGCGAGTTGAGTTGATGCCAAAGAGCTCGATTTTGGTCTCATCTGACCACAACACTTTCACCCAGTTCTCCTCTGAATCATTCAGATGTTCATTGGCAAACTTCAGACGGCCCTGTATATGTGCTTTCTTGAGCAGGGGGACCTTGCGGGCGCTGCAGGATTTCAGTCCTTCACAGCGTAGTGTGTTACCAATTGTTTTCATGGTGACTATGGTCCCAGCTGCCTTAAGATCATTGACAAGATCCTCCCGTGTAGTTCTGGGCTGATTCCTCACCGTTCTCATGATCATTGCAACTCCACAAGGTGAGATCTTGCATGGAGCCCCAGGCCATGGGAGATTGATAGTTCTTTTGTGTTTCTTCCATTTGCCAGGAGCCAGAAATCTTTCTGATTGAGAGGGGGTCAAATACTTATTTCCTTCATTAAAATGCAAATCAATTTATAACATTTTTTACATGCGTTTTTCTGGATTTTTTTGTTGTTATTCTGTCTCTCACTGTTCAAATAAACCTACCATTAAAATTATATACTGATCATTTCTTTGTCAGTGGGCAAACGTACAAAATCAGCAGGGGATCAAATACTTTTTTCCCTCACTGTATGCTGAGCACTTGTTGGCTGCTTTTCCTTCACTCTGCGGTCCAACTCATCCCAAACCATCTCAATTGGGTTGAGGTCGGGTGATTGTGGAGGCCAGGTCATCTGATGCAGCACTCCATCACTCTCCTTCTTGGTCAAATAGCCCTTACACAGCCTGGAGGTGTGTTTTGGGTCATTGTCCTGTTGAAAAATAAATGATAGTCCCACTAAGCGCAAACCAGATGGGATGGCGTATCGCTGCAGAATGCTGTGGTAGCCATGCTGGTTAAGTGTGCCTTGAATTCTAAATAAACCACAGACAGTGTCACCAGCAAAGCACCCCCACACCATCACACCTCCTCCTCCATGCTTCACGGTGGGAACCACACATGTGGAGATCATCCGTTCACCTACTCTGCGTCTCACAAAGACATGGCGGTTGGAACACAAAATCTCAAATTTGGACTCATCAGACCAAAGGACAGATTTCCACCGGTCTAATGTCCATTGCTCGTGTTTCTTGGCCCAAGCAGGTCTCTTCTTCTTATTGGTGTCCTTTAGTAGTGGTTTCTTTGCAGCAATTCAACCACAAAGGCCTGATTCACGCAGTCTCCTCTGAACAGTTGATGTTGAGATGTGTCTGTTACTTGAACTCTGTGAAGCATTTATTTGGGCGGCAATCTGAGGTGCAGTTAACTCTAATGAACTTATCCTCTGCAGCAAGAGGTAACTCTGGGTCTTCCATTCCTGTGGCGGTACTCATGAGAGCCAGTTTCATCACAGCGCTTGATAGTTTTTGTGACTGCACTTGAAGAAACTTTCAAAGTTCTTGAAATGTTCTGTATTGACTGACCTTCATGTCTTAAAGTAATGATGGACTGTCGTTTCTCTTTGCTTATTTGAGCTGTTCTTGCCATAATATGGACTTGGTCTTTTACCAAATAGGGCTATCTTCTGTATATCCCCCCAACCTTGTCACAACACAACTGATTGGCTCAAACGCATTAAGGAAAGAAATTCCACAAATTAATTTTTAACAAGGCACACCTGTTAATTGAAATGCATTCCAGGTGACTACCTCATGAAGCTGGTTGAGATAATGCCAAGAGTGTGCAAAGCTGTCATCAAGGCAAAGGGTGGCTACTTTGAATAATATAAAATATATATTTGATTTGTTTAACACTTTTTTGGTTACTACATGATTCCATATGTGTTATTTCATAGTTTTGTTGTCTTCACTATTATTCTACAATGTAGAAAATAGTTTAAAAAAAATAAAGACAAACCCTTGAATGAGTAGGTGTGTCCATACTTTTGACTGGTACTGTGTTTATGTTGTTAACTAAATAGTGTTTGATAGGATGGTTCATCTCTCTGTCTTCTCTCCCCGAGGTTTACAACTAGACTGATGACCATTAATAACATCTCCAGTCACACAACGGCTCTATCATCCAGACTAATCAAAATGGATGGGTTTCATTTCCTGTTGATGATGGAATGCTTTTTAAAATACAGCCAGTGAACCACTGCAGTACGTTGGAAAAAACACACACACCCCAAAAATCCAAACCGGAAAGAGAGAGAGAGAGAGAGAGAGAGAGAGAGAGAGAAAACATCGTTTTGGTGAGATGAGTTTTGGATTTATGTAAAATGGTGGTGATAATATCTGGGTGATTATTGCACACAGTGTACTCTCAGGCTTGCTGCGATTGGCCGAATCATAAAAACTAAAGCATAGCCCGGAGCGGTTGATGACAATAGTCCATTAAACGCTATTGGACTCTCACAATGTCTGGGTTGCTCAGCAACAAGAGTTCATGACAGGACCGAAAATGTACTCGATCTAAACTGATACATTGAAAAAGACATGATGCTCGACTGACAATAATAAAAAGACATGATGCTCGACTGACACAATAATGCCATTCTAAATATCTCAAATGCAAGAATGAACTGAGTATCATATTGATTAAAGTCACTGACAGAGTCCATAAATACGTATTTATTAAATCACATTCCCTTAAAATAAAAATGTTACAGTTCAACACATGCACAGAAAGTGGTAGCTTCAAGCATCGCAATACACATATACTACGTCAATACATGTACACCACGATTAATGAAATAGTTGATGAAAGATCAAATATTTGGTGCAGATTGGGACCATTTCTGACCACAATGTAAGCCTATAGGCTAGCGAGCCAAAACAGTGAAAGCGTACATACTGTTTGTGGCGTCGAGGACAGAAGTCCACTGACTCCCTGATACATACCTGGGGCGGCAGGTAGCTTAGTGGTTAAGAGCGTTGTACCAGTAACCAAAAGGTCGCTGGTTCTAATCCCCGAGCCGACTAGGTGAAAAACCTGTCGATGTGCCCTTGAGCAAGGCACTTAACCCTAATTGCTCCTGTAAGTTGCTCTGGATAAGAGCGTCTGCTAAATGACCAATTTATTTATACATTAGTTATGTTGTCAGTGGTAAGCCGAAACAGCAGTAGCCCCCCCCCCTCAGTCAGTAGACTAGCACAGTATGTCGGTGGCTGACGACTTGGTGCACGCAGGCATGGTGTTGCTTTTGTGTTTTGAGATGACTAGAGCATTGGTCACCAAGGTTGTGGGTTCAATTCCCATAAAAAGGACCACATAAGACTGAATATACTGAAAAGACAAAAAGAGCATCAGTTAGTTAGCGTGGCAACACCAACCCAAGGTTGTGGGTTCAACTCCCTCGTGGTCCCTCCTACAGCTAGTAGATGAGACTGAATATGAGTAGCTTTGGATATAGATGCCCTGTCACCATCACTGCATCCCAAATGGCACCCTATTCCCCATCTATTTCACTTATTTTGACCAGGGTCCATATCCCTATATGGCTCACTACTTTTGACAAATATCCTATAGGGGGCTCTGGTCAAAAGTAGTGCGCTATGAAGGGGACTAGGTTGCCATCTGGGATGCTACCCGCGAGTCCTCCTCCATGGCAGAGCGGACCCCGTCTTCCAGCTGGGCGGCGGTGGGCCGGGCGTCAGGGTCGGAGGCCAGCATGTCCAGTAGCAGGGTGCAGACAGCCTGGCCAGGAGGGGGCGGTAGAGGTGGGGCGCGGCGGGACTTCATGGGGATACACACCTGGAGGTCCGGGTTCTCACACAACGCCTCGCCCAGGGGCATCAGCCAGCGGGCCTTACACACGTACGCACCTGTAGGCAGACACAGGTACAGGACAGATATCAGTATTACTGTCTGTGAGACTACAATCTTTGTATTTTGGACCAACAACCATCAACAAATCAAAATCACATTTTATTTGTCTCATACACGTGTTTAGCAGATGTTATTGCGGGTGTAGCGAAATGCTTGTGCTTCTAGCTCCGACAGTGCAGTAATATCTAACAAGTAATATCTAACAATTTCACAACATATACCCAATACACACAAATCTAGTAAGGAATGGAATTTAAGAGTATATACATATATGGACAAGCAATGACAGAGCGGCATGGACTAAGATACAGTAGAATATTATAGAATAGAATACAGTATATACATATGAGATGAGTAGTGCAAGATATGTAAACATTATTAAAGTGACTAGTGTTCCATTTCTTAAAGTGGCCAGTGATTTCAATAGGCAGCAGCAGCCTCTAATGTGCCAGTGATGGCTATTTAACAGTCTGATGGCCTTGAGATAGAAGCTGTTTTTCATTCTCTCGGTCCCAGCTTTGATGCACCTGTACTGACCTCGCCTTCTGGATGATAGCGGGGTGAACAGGCAGTGGCTCGGGTGTCCTTGATAATCTTTTTGGCGGGTAGTTTGCCCCCCGATAATGCGTTCGGCAGACCGCACCACCCTCTGGAGAGCCCTGCGGTTGCGGGCGGTGCAGTTGCCGTACCAGGCGGTGATACAGCCCGACAGGATGCTCTCAATTGTGCATCTGTAAAAGTTTGTGAGGGTTTTAGGTGCCAAGCTGAATTTCTTCAGCCTCCTGAGGTTGAAGAGGCACTGTTGTGCCTTCTTCACCACACTGTCTGCGTGGGTGGACCATTTCAGTCTGTCGGTGATGTGTACGCCAAGGAACTTGAAGCTTTCCACCTTCTCCACTGCGGTCCCGTCGATGTGGATACGGGGGGTGCACCCTCTGCTGTTTCCTGAAGGTGGACAAGCCATCAACTTGATCCTTCAACCAGGAGAACATGACCAACTGTAATAATGACTGTAGCAGAACTATCATCCATCCATGGGCTCTGGGAAGACTAAACTAAAGGAGGCAGGGGAGTAATGTGCCACTACTTTACCAGCCTGGGAAGTCTCCCTCCCTCCCTAACTTACCCACCAGACCACGGGGCAACATAATGGAGCCCTGGTTTCCCGTTTTATATTCAAATCCAGTATTCCCTCCGGTAACAGGGCCGTTTCCATTCAGGTTTTAATAACACACTTCAAACGAGGTGGGGAAGGAAGGTATTTTCTGTAGCAGTGTTTCCGTCCAACAGAGCTACTCGGAATTAAATCAGTCTGATTTATACGACGTCATCATCCTCAGAAGAGCCAAAATAACAGCAGAGCGTTCATATTCAGGGCTTTGCATAACTAACCCCTCTGAATCTAGGAAATAACCAACCTCCCTAGACATCGTTTTCTTACAGATATTCAACATAGATGAGTTTAGCATAGGGCACCACGGGTCGAGACGACACACACACACACACAAATACAACACACACACACACAGACACAAATACAACACACACACACACACACACACAGAGACACAAATACACCACACACACACACACACACACAAATACAACACACACACAGATACAACACACACACACACACACACACAAATACAACACAGATAAAATCAATACAGTTACATATCCGGATATTACTATCATTTTGACAATATCCCAGTGCTAGTCGGCTGCACCAAAACTCCAATATTTTTCTTTCATAGTTTGTTCTCCATCTTCTTTTTTTGTTTTTCATTTCCATAACTGATCAAAACCTGTTAAATCATGGCTCTCCTGTCCCTCTGCAGCAGACATATATACTGAGGACAAAACATTAAGAACACAGAGCTCTTTCCATGACATAGACTGACCAGGTGAAAGCTATGATCCCTTATTGATGTCACTTGTTAAATCCACTTCAATCAGTGTAGATGAAGGGGAGGAGACAGGTTAAAGAAGGATTTTTAAGCCTTGGGACAATTGAGATTTAAGTGCCTTTGAACAGGGTATGGTAGTAGGTGCCAGGCGCACCGTTTTGAGTGTCAAGAACTGCAACTCAATATTAGAAAGGTGTTCTTAATGTTTTCTATACTCAATGTGCAGAGCAATAGGTTTGGAACATCGAATCGCAATAAATCACAGCATTGAATCGCAACACATAAGTATCGAGAGGTCCCTGGCACTTCCCAGCTTTACTTCCCACCCTCCCCAACTCACCCAGTTGTTCCTGTGTGGAGCCCTCCCACCCTCCCCAACTCACCCAGTTGTTCCTGTGTGGAGCCCTCCCACCCTTCCCAACTCACCCAGTTGTTCCTGTGTGGCCCTCCCCCCCCAACCCAGTTGTTCCTGTGTGGAGCCCTCCCACCCTCCCCCAACCCCAGTTCCTGGGAGCCCTCCCACCCACCCTCCCCAACTCACCCAGTTGTTCCTGTGTGGAGCCCTCCCACCCTCCCCAACTCACCCAGTTGTTCCTGTGTGGATCCCTCCCTCCCTCCCTCCCTCTCTCTAACTCACCCAGTTGTTCCTGTGTGGAGCCCTCCCACCCTCCCCGTTGTTCCTGTGTGGAGCCCTCCCACCCTCCCCGTTGTTCCTGTGTGGATCCCTCCCACCCTCCCCGTTGTTCCTGTGTGGAGCCCTCCCACCCTCCCCAACTCACCCAGTTGTTCCTGTGTGGAGCCCTCCTCCAGGAAGGTGAGTCTCTCCAGGATGGCCCAGAACATCACCCCTAGGGAGAAGATGTCTGCCTGGGCCGTGTAGCTGAGGCCGCCCCACACCTCTGGAGCCATGTAGAAGTCAGAGCCACACGTAGAGGAGAAGTGCTGTCTGGTCAGACTAGTGTCTCCTTCCATCCCCAGGTCCCCCTCAACACTCATCTTGCTCAGGCCAAAGTCAGCCACCTAGAAGGAGGTAGTGTGGAATGGAAAAACAAAGTGAAAGACAGTGAATATTATTACAGTATCAAGATCAGGATTTAAATTAACCCATCCATGTCTTCGGCTGTTAAAAACATACACTATATATATATATATATATATATATATATATATATATATATATATATATATATATATACAAAAGTATGTGGACACCCCTTCAAATTAGTGGATTCTGCAATTTCAGCCACACCCGTTGCTGACAGGTGTATAAAGTCGAGCACACAGCCATGCAATCTCCATAGACAAACATTGGCAGTAGGATGGCCTTCCTGAAAAGCTCAGTGACTTTCAACGTGGCACCGTCATAAGATGCCACCTTTCCAACAAGTCAGTTCGTAAAATTTCTGCCCTGCTAGAGCTGCCCCGGTCAACTGTAAGTTCTGTTATTGTGAAGTGGAAACATCTAGGAGCAACAACGGCTCAGACGTGAAGTGGTAGGCCACACAATCTCACAGAACGGGACCGCCGAGTGCTGAAGCACTAAGCGCGTAAAAATCGTCTGTCCTCGGTTGCAAAACTCACCACCGAGTTCCAAACTGCCTCTGGAAGCAATGTCAGCACAAGAACTTTGTCGGGAGCTTCATGAAATGGGTTTCCATGGCCGAGCAGCCGCACACAAGCCTAAGATCACCATGTGCAATGCCAAGCGTCGGCTGGAGAGGTGTAAAGCTCGCCGCCATTGGACTCTGGAGCAGTGGAAACGTGTTCTCTGGAGTGATGAATCACGCTTCACCATCTGACAGTCCGACAGACTAATCTGGGTTTGGCGGCTGCCAGGAGAACGCTATCTGCCCCAATGCATAGTGCCAACTGTAAAGTGTGGTGGAGGAGGAATAATGGTCTGGGGCTGTTTTTCATGGTTCGGGCTAGGTCCATTATTTCCAGTGAAGGGAAATCTTAATGCTACAGCATACAACAACATTTTAGACTATTCTGTGCTTCCAACATGGTGGTAACAGTTTGGGGAAGGCCCTTTCCTGTTTCAGCATGACAATGCCCCTGTGCACAAAGCGAGGTCCATACAGAAATGGTTTGTCGAGATCGGTGTGGAAGAACTTGACTGGCCTGCACAGAGCCCTGACCTCAACCACATCGAACAACTTTGGGATGAATTGGAACGCCGACTGCGAATCAAGCCTAATTGCCCATCATCAGTGCCCGACCTCACTAATGCTCATGTGGCTGAATGGAAGCAAGTCCCCCGCAGCAATGTTCCCATCATCTAGTGGAAAGCCTTCCCAGAAGAGTGGAGGCTGTTATAGCAGCAAAGGGGGGGGACCAACTCCATTTAATGGCCATGATTTTGGAATGAGACGTTTGTCGAGCAGGTCTCCACATACTTTGGTTCATGTAGTGTACTAGCCAAGGAACCTTTCACCCTTTTAGTATTACTTTTCTTACAGTCTGTCATCATACTTTTCAGTAAGGACCGTAGTAACACTGAAGTGTTCAGTCGGTGCACCTACCTTGACGAGAGGCCCGTCAGGGGTGAGAGAGACCAGCACGTTGTCTGGCTTCAGGTCTCTGTGTACGATGCGGAGGCGGTGGAGGAAGGCCATGGCTGAGCTGAGCTGTTGGACCACGCTGTGGTTCCGCTGGCTGTCTGGAGGTCTGGACAGCAGGTAGTGGTTCAGGTCTCCCCCATCACAGTACTCCATCACCAGCCACAGGGCCAAGCAGCGCCTGGGACCACGGTTCTCCTTCTCTCTTCTGGGGGCTGGTCTCTTTCTGGGCTTGGAGAGGCCAGAATTTGTCCTCACAGGCGTTTTGGACATGGACAAGTCAGAGTTAGTTCTTTTCTTGCTTTTAGACCTGGACAAGTCTGAGTTAGTGCTCTCCTGGGATTTGGACCTGAAGATGTCGGACTCTGAGTTAGTCCTCAATCTGTCCTTGGTTCTGTACCTGAAGAGACCACCTGAGTTAGTTCTGTTCTTAGTTTTAGACTGAGATGAGTGTGAATTTGTCATTTTCTCCTCCTGGTTGTGCTCTACCCCCACCACACTCCCCTTCAGGGCGCTCTCCACCAGGTTCAGAGGCAGCCTGCCTGGCCTGAGGGGCTGCAGGGTCTTGGGTCCAGTCTGCAGCAGGCAGCCATGGAGGGCGATGACGTTGGGGTGGATCTTGGCCGTAGCTCTCATGGCCCACAGCTCCTGGAGGTAAAGCTCGATGCACTCTGGGCTACTGCAGGGCAGGTGTTTTATGGCAACCCGCTGGCCTGTTCGGGCCATGTGGCCCTGGAAAACCACCCCGTAGCTGCCTCGTCCCACTTCCCTCTCAAGGGTGTACAACTCCTCCATCTTCTGACTCACTATATCAACAGGAACTTGGATTCGTCTTAGATTCTTGGTTTGAAGCCAGTGTTTGAGTTAACCCTGTTGTCTGCAAAAGGAAAACATTGTTGGCTAGCTGTAGCTATCACTTGTATTTATTACAGAACCCCTATTAACTGCTGCCAAGGCAGAAGCTACTCTTCCTGGGGTCCAAACAAAATGAAGGCAATTACATGTCTCGTCATGAAATTGATGAGACTCGTTATGATCTCAGTCTGGCCTGTTTGAGCAAATAAACGGATTAGACGTGTTATGATCTCAGTCTGGCCTGTTTGAGCAAATAAACTTAGCTAGTAGCTCTCCAGAACTCAATGGGGGCTTACAGATTTCCCCGTTTGGGTTCTCAGCTGATTGTATGAAGGACTGCTGGCTCCATGGGAACTTCAATTCAGATGCTCAGTTTTAAAATTTAGAAACGTTAATAATTGTTGGTGAAACCATACAGGAGAGGAAGTACAGAACCAACGACGCTAGACGGAGAGGAATATGTTTAAGCAAAAGGCAGTTTATTAAACACAGAGATAGCTGGTACTGCTCAAGCTACATGCATGGACCCATTCAGTTGCCTCTTATCGAGACAGTTGAAAGGGATCAAAAACAGAGTTTTCAGCATTACTTTATACAATGCAACACAAAGGAAGGGGTCCTTCTTCTAGTCCCTTGATTGGTTCCGGAGGCGTAGGAGGCGGGTCTGCTCTGTCCAGAGTAGAAGCCCCATTTTGTGCACGGCTGAGTCCTCTGCCCTAGGCACCCGACCAGTAGAAAAAAGTGCAGTGTGTGTGTGTGCGTAACTCGTGAGGCATGAGGATGAGTGTGCGTATGCATGGAGATGTGTGTGTGAATGTGTGTATGTTCTCAAAGGAAAGTCTCGTGGGGAGCAACCAGATTGTGGCCTGTGGCGTGGGAGTTGTCCTTGAGAAGATATTGGCTCTGTCCATTGTTCTTGCATAGGAACAGCATTGATTGAAAACAAGCTCCTAACATTAAAATGGGTCATGCACAAGATTTTAGTCAGACCAAGCTATAACATTTTAATATTTACTACGACATAATCCTCATTGCAATACGGTTTTGTAAACATTTGGAACTTAACTTTCATAACAGCGAAAAATAATATTTCAAATATAAAAGATTTTCCAGAGCTATGGATGCAAGGATTGACCATCCATGATATCAAATGTATAGTTGAGCATGTTTTGAGGCTATAGCTATATCATTAGTGCGTTTACTTTTTCTTCGCTTACAAACATTGGAGCAAAACAAGCCTACACTATATTTTGGGTTCTGATGTCGTACGATAGTTGAACTAAGCTCATGAAGCATTTATAAAAGTTATATTCTTCAAGAATCAAAGAGCACATATAATTAATGTATAAGTCCCAAAATGGATGTAGTAACCGCTGATTACTAAGGAGTAACGGTAGGCATCTTCTTGGGCTACTAGTGAAATGTGGGAAGCTACTGTAGCTATCAGTTTCTAGTTGAAAAGACCCTAAGGTTTTTCTTTCAACCGACTTCCACTTTTCAAAAATAATTTCGCAGTAACGTTATGATCGAATTTAGCACCAGAATTGCACATTTTTAAATGGCTTGCCTAGGCAAACATTGAGCGTGTTTCTATGCTTGGAGTTACAGCTGGCTGGTTAGCTTGCTACACTTATCGTAACTTTAAATACTTAGCTACATTACGTAAATGACACTTACCCATGGAATTGATAGCTACATTTTTCACTAACAGTGTGTGTATCTGTTTACTTGGCTAAAGGATTCATCTGTATGAAAAATGTATGCACTCACTAACTGTAAGTCGCTCTGGATAAGAGCGTCTGCTAAATGACTAAAATGTAAAATGTAAATCTGAAACGGAATAAACGCCATCGTCGAGTCAAATGAAAACAACAAAGTTGGATTTGCAGAATTTCCGTTTCCCCTTTGAACTTCCCGCTTAGAAAGATCTGCGCTGTGATTGGCTACAGAACCGTACGTAAAAACATTTAACTTGCATCATTGGCCAATCAACGAAGACGCATTTTTTATATAATTCGAAATGACCAAAATCAGAACAGTCCGTGCTATCCGGAATACTTGGGATGTCCCTACCCCATTGAAGTTACAATTTGAAATGGGTTAGGGATGTCCCAAGGATTCCGGATAGCACTGACCATGTCAGAACGTTTTATATAATTTAATCAAAGATGGTGGATAAATGAAGATACTGTAGTTCCCACACCACTCATAATATGCTGCCAGAGAGCTCATACAATCCCACTGCACTCACAGTACCCCAGTTTGAGTCACAATACCCATAAAACCTAGCGGTCAAACAGGGAAATGGTTCCAATCGTTTGTCCACCATTCATTTTTTCCCATAGGGGATTGTTGAAACACTTCAAGTAAGGGCTGTAGGCTTACCCTGGTGTGACGTTTTGATAACCCTGTAAAATCTCTCTAGGACAAGGTGACTTATCAATATGTACACCCCCGAATCGAGGCAAAGGTAAGAATATCTGGATTAACTATCTGTTAGCGAAATTTAAATCAAATCAAATGTTATTGGTCACATACACCTATTTAGCAGATGTTATTGCGGGTGTAGCGAAATACTTGTGTTCCTAGCTCCAACAATGCAGTAGTATCTAACAATTCACAACTATAAACAAATCAAAAAGTAAAATAATGGAATAAATAAATAAATATTAGGATGAGCAATGTCGGAGTCGCATTGAATAAAATACAGTAGAATAGAATACAGTATATACATATGAGAGGAGTAAAGCAGTATGTAAACATTATTAAAGTGACTAGTGTTCCATTATTTTACCTTTATTTAACTAGGCAAGTCAGTTAAGAACAAATTCTTATCTACAATGATGGCCTGCCCCAGCCAAAGCCGGACGACGCTGGGCCAATTGTGCGCTGCCCTATGGGAATCGAACCAGGGGGTCTGTAGTGACGTTTCTAGCGCTGAGATGCAGTGCCTTAGACCGCTGCGCCACTCGGGAGCCCAGTGATTCCATGTCTATGTATATAGGGCAGTAGCCTACATACATAGTGCCGGGTTGAGTAACCAGGTGGTAGCCGGCTAGTGATGGCTATTTAACAGTCTGATGGCCTTGAGATAGAAGCTGTTTTTCAGTCTCTTGAGGTTGAAGAGGTGCTGTTCCGCCTTCTTCACCACACTGTCTGTGTGGGTGGACCATTTCAGATTGTCAGTGATATGTACGCCGAGAAACTTGAAGCTTTCCACCTTCTCTACTACGGTCCCGTCGATGTGGATAGGGGGGTGCTCCCTCTGCTGTTTCCTGACGTCCACAATCAGCTCCTTCGTTTTGTTGACGTTGAGGGAGAGGTTCATATCAACACCATTATCCCAGAAACCCTAGACCCACTCCAATTTGCATACCCCCCAACAGATCCACAGATGATGCAATCTCTATTGCACTCCACACTGCCCTTTCCCACCTGGACAAGAGGAACACCTACAGTTGAAGTCGGAAGATTACATACACCTTAGCCAAATACATTTAAACTAAGTTTTTCACAATTCCTTACATTTAATCCTAGTAAAAATTCCCTGTCTTCTTTTAATTTTTAATTTTTTGTGGAGGGCAATGAGCTTAATTTTTTTGCGGGGGCAATGAGCTTAATATTGCAGATAGATTGTAACTTCCATCAATGTAATTGTCTGCATCACTTCCAATCACTACAGTGGTGAAAATAAGTATTTAGTCAGCCACCAATTGTGCAAGTTCTCCCACTTAAAAAGATGAGAGAGGCCTGTAATTTTCATCATAGGTACACGTCAACTATGACAGACAAAATGAGAAAAAAAATCCAGAAAATCACATTGTAGGATTTTTAATGAATTTATTTACAAATTATGGTGGAAAATAAGTATTTGGTCAATAACAAAAGTTTCTCAATACTTTGTTATATACCCTTTGTTGGCAATGACACAGGTCAAATGTTTGCTGTAAGTCTTCACAAGGTTTTCACACACTGTTGCTGGTATTTTGGCCCATTCCTCCATGCAGATCTCCTCTAGAGCAGTGATGTTTTGGGGCTGTCGCTGGGCAACACGGACTTTCAACTCCCTCCAAAGATTTTCTATGGGGTTGAGATCTGGAGACTGACTAGGCCACTCCAGGACCTTGAAATGCTTCTTACGAAGCCACTCCTTCGTTGCCCGGGCGGTGTGTTTGGGATCATTGTCATGCTGAAAGACCCAGCCACGTTTCATCTTCAATGCCCTTGCTGATGGAAGGAGGTTTTCACTCAAAATCTCACGATACATGGCCCCATTCATTCTTTCCTTTACACGGATCAGTCGTCCTGGTCCCTTTGCAGAAAAACAGCCCCAAAGCATGATGTTTCCACCCCCATGCTTCACAGTAGGTATGGTGTTCTTTGGATGCAACTCAGCATTCTTTGTCCTCCAAACATGACGAGTTGAGTTTTTACCAAAAAGTTATATTTTGGTTTCATCTGACCATATGACATTCTCCCAATCCTCTTCTGGATCATCCAAATGCACTCTAGCAAACTTCAGACGGGCCTGGACATGTACTGGCTTAAGCAGGGGGACATGTCTGGCACTGCAGGATTTGAGTCCCTGGCGGCGTAGTGTGTTACTGATGGTAGGCTTTGTTACTTTGGTCCCAGCTCTCTGCAGGTCATTCACTAGGTCCCCCCGTGTGGTTCTGGGATTTTTGCTCACCGTTCTTGTGATCATTTTGACCCCACGGGGTGAGATCTTGCGTGGAGCCCCAGATCGAGGGAGATTATCAGTGGTCTTGTATGTCTTCCATTTCCTAATAATTGCTCCCACAGTTGATTTCTTCAAACCAAGCTGCTTACCTATTGCAGATTCAGTCTTCCCAGCCGGGTGCAGGTCTACAATTTTGTTTCTGGTGTCCTTTGACAGCTCTTTGGTCTTGGCAATAGTGGAGTTTGGAGTGTGACTGTTT